CAGTAAGGATCATCTCTTATTGATCCAGTGTTGCTACAGGAGGAAACTTAAACTAAACTAACTTTATTTATACTGGATAGCTCTATCAGTTCTAAACTGTTCTTCCTAGAGGTCCAGTAAAGATCATCTCTTATTGATCCAGTGTTACTACAGGAGGAAACCTAAACTAAACTAACTTTATTTATACTGGATAGCTCTATCAGTTCTAAACTGTTCTTCCTAGAGGTCTAGTAAGGATCATCTCTTATTGATCCAGTGTTACTACAGGAGGAAACCTAAACTAAACTAACTTTATTTATGCTGGATAGCTCTATCAGTTCTAAACTGTTCTTCCTAGAGGTCCAGTAAGGATCATCTCTTATTGATTCAGTGTTACTACAGGAGGAAACCTAAACTAAACTAACTTTATTTATACTTGATAGCTCTATCAGTTCTAAACTGTTCTTCCTAGAGGTCCAGTAAGGATCATCTCTTATTGATCCAGTGTTACTACAGGAGGAAACCTAAACTAAACTAACTTTATTTATACTGGATAGCTCTATCAGTTCTAAACTGTTCTTTCTAGAGGTCCAGTAAGGGTCATCTCTTATTGATCCAGTGTTACTACGGGAGGAAACCTAAACTAAACTAACTTTATTTATACTGGATAGCTCTATCAGTTCTAAACTGTTCTTCCTAGAGGTTCAGTAAGGATCATCTCTTATTGATCCAGTGTTACTACAGGAGGAAACCTAAACTAAACTAACTTTATTTATACTGGATAGCTCTATCAGTTCTAAACTGTTCTTCCTAGAGGTCCAGTAAGGATCATCTCTTATTCATCCAGTGTTACTACAGGAGGAAACCTAAACTAAACTAACTTTATTTATACTGGATAGCTCTATCAGTTCTAAACTGTTCTTCCTAGAGGTCCAGTAAGGATCATCTCTTATTGATCCAGTGTTACTACAGGAGGAAACCTAAACTAAACTAACTTTATTTATACTGGATAACTCTATCGGTTCTAAACTGTTCTTCCTAGAGGTTCAGTAAGGATCATCTCTTATTGATCCAGTGTTACTACAGGAGGAAACCTAAACTAAACTAACTTTATTTATACTGGATAGCTCTATCAGTTCTAAACTGTTCTTCCTAGAGGTCCAGTAAGGATCATCTCTTATTGATTCAGTGTTACTACAGGAGGAAACCTAATCTAAACTAACTTTATTTATACTGGATAGCTCTATCAGTTCTAAGCTGTTCTTCCTAGAGGTCCAGTAAGGATCATCTCTTATTGATTCAGTGTTACTACAGGAGGAAACCTAATCTAAACTAACTTTATTTATACTGGATAGCTCTATCAGTTCTAAACTGTTCTTCCTAGAGGTCCAGTAAGGATCATCTCTTATTGATTCAGTGTTACTACAGGAGGAAACCTAAACTAAACTAACTTTATTTATGCTGGATAGCTCTATCAGTTCTAAACTGTTCTTCCTAGAGGTCCAGTAAGGATCATCTCTTATTGATTCAGTGTTACTACAGGAGGAAACCTAAACTAAACTAACTTTATTTATACTTGATAGCTCTATCAGTTCTAAACTGTTCTTCCTAGAGGTCCAGTAAGGATCATCTCTTATTGATCCAGTGTTACTACAGCAGGAAACCTAAACTAAACTAACTTTACTTATACTGGATAGCTCTATCAGTTCTAAACTGTTCTTCCTAGAGGTCCAGTAAGGATCATCTCTTATTGATCCAGTGTTACTGCAGGAGGAAACCTAAACTAAACTAACTTTATTTATACTGGATAGCTCTATCAGTTCTAAACTATTCTCTCTAGAGGTCCAGTAAGGATCATCTCTTATTGATCCAGTGTTACTACAGGAGGAAACCTAAACTAAACTAACTTTATTTATACTGGATAGCTCTATCAATTCTAAACTGTTCTTCCTAGAGGTCCAGTAAGGATCATCTCTTATTGATCCAGTGTTACTACAGGAGGAAACCTAAACTTAACTAACTTTATTTATACTGGATGGCTCTATCAGTTCTAAACTGTTTTTCCTAGAGGTCCAGTAAGGATCATCTCTTATTGATCCAGTGTTACTACAGGAGGAAACCTAAACTAAACTAACTTTATTTATACTGGACAGCTCTATCAGTTCTAAACTGTTCTCCCTAGAGGTCCAGTAAGGATCATCTCTTATTGATCCAGTGTTACCACAGAAGGAAACGGGAGTACCTGGAGAAACCTGTGGTGTTTGGCAGAATCAAACTGGACGTAATCTTCTTGCATGCAACTGAGATGAAATTAGAACTAGACGATTGAGAATCGAACCCAGTTCACACTTTACAGAGGTGCCATGCACTGTGTCATCAACACGTGCATAACTGCAACTGACAATCACATAATTTTCTTACAGGTGAAAAGTTTAGATATGGTCGAACATTTGGTTTTAGTACGAAGAATGCCCGACAACCAATTGAGACATTTTAAAAAGAAAGCAAAAGTTTGGAAGATATGTATAAAGTAAAGTCA